CTCAGCAGATGGCCGCTCACACTGAGCCTGGTTCTGCTGGAGGTTTCTTCCTGTTCAAAGGGAGTTTTTCCTCTCCACTCCAACTCCAGCAAGTTGACTCGAATCAACAAGTTGATGAAATCAGCTAGTTTTCCTTAGGTAGACTTTGAATCAATCTGACTGGATGATCTGGTGAACTGGAAAGTGCCTGATATCTCATGTGATGTGAATTGGCGCTATAGAAATAAACTGAATTGAATTGAAGCTTCATAAACTGTGGGGATCGTAGAGCTGTTAGTCTGGCAAGGAATTAAAAGGTTACCTTTTTTTGTTGCAACTTAAAACTAGACCAAAAACAACTAAATCTTTAGCGATAGTATCAAGGTGTCACTTTATTGTATCTCTTACATCTGCTGGTTGTTCTGTTCTTTTTCCATCTCTTTGCAGGTGATGAAACAGACTGAAGATGTTTTATCATCATCTCCTTTCTAGCTCCTCTTTCTTTCATCTTTTCTCCTTTTTTCTGTTTTTCCTTTCCTGTTCTATTTGCATTGCAGTGTCCATATAATCTGTAAAACTCCCTGCATAATTATAATAAAGCTATTTTTATGCATAAATCAAGCGGAACATTATGGCGATAGCCGTACTGCTCCACTTGTAAAAGTAAAATCTGTTGGGCTCTTTTTGGCATCAAGACAATTATTCCTATTGCCACATTGCCAGACAGGACACTGTAAAAGAAAAAAAGATAAATAAAACCGACTAAATCTATCACATATAGTAATGAATAAACTGTGACTAAAACTAATAGTTTCTACTGAAGATCTAAGATGGCTGTGAATAACAACACTGCTCTGACCAGAGCTCCTTGTTTCCCATGTTTGCTGCATCTCTCAGGTTTCTGCGGCAAACTTCAAACAAGACTTTTTATGGACCTCTTTGATGAATGGCTTTCTTTCATAAACTAAAATAAAAATATATAAAGGTATGTATAACGCTCAAACTTTGGACCCCAATGTAATTTTAATGATAAAATAGTTTAGCTTACAAAATTGGATTTCACAATAAAAGCCTCCTCAGATAAAAACTAAACATAAACTTAAAATTCTTCACTCACACACAAAGACTCTCCAGACAATTTTCTCTCTCATTTTAAAAAACCCAAACATGCTAATAGTTCAGTGCATGTAAATATTCCAGTTCTCAGGAATGATGGATCTTCTAATATAATTTAATCCTATTAGTGTCAAACATTCAGTTGTAAAAGGTTGAAAAAATATAAAGGTGGAACTACTTCTTCTTTTCAAGTTTTCAAGTGAAACTTGAGGAATCAAAAGGAAAAAAGTTTCCCACAGGTTTCACAGGAAAAGGGTTTCGTTTAGAATCAGTTTCTCAGGGGAAATTTCCATCAAGCCCGACTCCAAAAACCTCTGCCACAGATTCCACAGGAGAACGGTTTTTCCACGACTTGGCCTGGGACTAGTCATGTTCCTGAATTGGAACGGCTTCCTACAGATCGAACAGGGAACCTTTCAATCCTCCATCTTTGCTGCCATTCGAAGCTCATGCTGCGGTTTCTTAGGATCTTGGAAATGAACCATGCATCTCTTACTTTTGTATTTTTCCCATCATTTCCCGGGAATGCAGTTTTTTCACATGACCCATCATGTGAGACTCTAGTTTCTTTTTGAAGCAGTAACTTTTCTTGCACAGATCACACTGAAATCGTTTTGTCGGTTTGGTCTTCGTCATGTGGAGGTATCTGTGCATCTGTGTGTGTATTTGCAGGGAACTCCTTTGGCTAAAAGACATTTTGCAATAATCGCAGACATAAGCTTTTTCTGAATGGTAACTTTTTCTGTGCCTCAATAAGTCGTCTTCCTCCCTGAAGGACTGTCCACATATACACTGATAGTTTGGCCTGGTTTTTGCATAGAGTCTCCTGTGAGCCATGAGCCAGTGTTTGGTTTTAAAGTTATTTCCACACTCAGGACAAAACACATCCTTGACTTCTGAATACTCCTTCATGTGCTGCGTTAACGCCTCCTCTGTTTCAAAGCTTTTTTCACACTCTGAGCAGGAAAACGGTTTCTCATCAGCATTCGGGGACGAGGCGGGTTCTCCCGTTGAAGGGAAATTCCTCTGACACTTTGAACAGCAATAAGGTGCCTTGCTATCAGCTGGGGTCACAGGGGCCGAGTCTTTAGCGCAGCTTTTGCACAGAAACACATTCTCACCTGCGTTTGAGTCATTTTGATGGTTTATTAAGGACTTCCCTTTGAGAGGATTCTGATCTGTCGGAGCGCCACCATCACTCTGCTGGGTTTGGTCCGTTCGCCCCGATTCCTTGTCATCTCTGACCTGATGTTCAGATGGGTTCCTGCCGATGCTGGGGAGACGTTGGTGGCCGTCCTGTTTGACAACCAGCTGATCTTCCTTCCCGTTCCTCAGACGTTTTTTCTCTGCAACCAAACTGCAGTTTTTCTGTTGGTCACCGGTTTGCTGTGGCTGCTGGTTGCTGTTCTTTGAATGAAGCTGATGGTGAGCTGAAGAGACAAAAGGAAAAAGGTTACCATGAACCTGCAACACATTGAAAATATGCCCAGTTTAATTATGTGCTAAACTCGGTTCACGGATTAAACAAAAAAAAAAAAAACTGATCAGAATTGGTCTTTTATACGGGTGGCCCACACCTTTTATTGCGCCACTCACTGCTATAATGTGGGACCATATGTAGGGGCCTATAAAATCCGTTTTATTTTTTCCCAAATTCCGTTTTTTCTGTTTTAAATTATGAAAATTCATTTTTTTTCTGTTTTATGTGTGTATTTTTGCGCTTCCAATCAATGGAATGTTGACAAAACTTGCAAAACAAAAGTCACGAGGAAACGGCTCGGCTCTGTACTCGGGGCTTAGCGTCTTGTTTCTGAACTTTATCGCAGAAAGCGGAGCTGTGGAGAGCCGCTTCGCCATCTTTTCAATGTTTTTTATGGGTGAGGCGGAAATGACGGAGCGGGAGGGGTTGTGTCGCCCAGATTTACATCCCCCGGTGTGCATTTCCCCCCCGACGTACGTTCTTCTCCCACTCAAAAATAGAATTTCATTTCAAATGTAGAAATTTCGTGTTTGCACTAGATTCCGCGTTAATTTTCCAATTCTGACTGCGATTCCGTGATCGCGGAAATTCTAGGGCCCTACATATGGTAACGTTACAATAGACCTAGAGAAACAGGAAGCGCACCAAACTCTGTCCTGTGAGACGAAGCCTTCCTCTCTCTCGCTGTCCACCATGCAGAGCAGGCTGTCTGCACTGCAGCAGAATAAACCTTTCTAATTGGATCCAGATGGCAAAGGAAATGTTTCAATCTGCTGCTAATCACACCCTGGACAGCAAAATTGAATCATGAAAATGATTTTGAACCGACACATTTGTCACACATTAAATAACTGCATTTTCCATCTACAGCCTCATTCTCCTAGCCTCGTGAGACCATCCTGATCTCGCGAGCTTTCAAGGTTTCACTCGCAGATCAGTCTGG